TCAGAACATATTGTGAATGTGATTAAAGATATCAAACTTAACCATGATATTTTGGTGAGTTTTTATGTGATTTCTCTATTCACAAAGGTTCCAGTGAACGAGACGCTTAAATTACTTGATACACTAGGAAAGAATACAGGTTTACCAAAAGATATCCCGAAACTATCTGATCATTGCTTAAATAACACTTACTTCTTATGGAGAGGTGATTTCTTTACAAAAGGAAGGAGCCGCAATGGGCTCTCCATTATCTCCTACTATAGCAAATCTGTACATGTGTAATAAAGGACTCTCTCTCAGATGTCGATCTCCGTTGTCCTTTATTGGGTTCATAGAATCTTGTTACCACGGCGTCCTCGCTCAGGCCCGCGTCCCTCCCGACGATCTCTCCACAGCCACTCGGCTGCTCCGATATGCAGTCTCCCTGCTGCTCCGTTAGGCAGTCTCCCTGCTGCTCCACCTTGCAGCCACACCACTGCTCCGCTCTCTTGCTTCACTGCTGCCCCGTACACAGCTAGCCTCCCACAGCCGCTAGCTCTCTGCGTCTGACACCGATGGCTGACGGTGTCGACGTCTCCCACCGCGTGGCGACCGTGCCACTCTCCCCGTTTTGCCCAGCGTGGCCTCCTCCTGTTTCACTCCGTCTCAACTCCCTTTTCCCCTTCCGGTTCTTCCCCTAAATCCTCTCTCCCACGTGACCCTAACTTCACCCACTCCCCACATGACCCAGACTCCACCCCCCCCCTCAATCCTTGCTCGCATTACACATGGAAAACTTTGAAGCAAGAGCACTTGCCTCAAGAACATCAAAACCATCTTTTTGGTTTAGATATGTTGATGACACTTTGGTTGTCTGGCCACATGGTAAAGATACACTTAATGATTTTCTAAATCATCTCAATGCAAAACACCCGGCCATCCAGTTCACCATAGAAATGGAGGTGAATAACATACTCCCGTTCCTAGATATTTTTGCTTGGACATGGTCTAAATCAGGGGTCCTCAAACTTTTTAAACAGGGGGCCAGTTCACTGTCCCTCAGACCGTTGGAGGGCCGGACTATAGTTAAAAAAAAACTATGAACAAATTCCTATGCACACTGCATATATCTTATTTTGAAGTGAAGAAACAAAACGGGTACAAATACAATATTTAAAATGAAGAACAAGTAAAGTTAAATCAACAAACTTGCCAGTATTTCAATGGGAACTATGGGCCTGCTTTTGGCTAATGAGATAGTCAATGTCCGGTTCCATATTTGTCACTGCTAGTTGTAACAAGTGATGCAAGTGTGCATCCGTTAGTCTAGATCTGGTTGGAGATTTCAAATGTTTAATTCTGGAAAAAGTCTGTTCACAGACATAAGTGCTGCCAAAGATGGTTGCCATTTTGAGTGCATGGTTCCTGAGATGAGGATATGTCTCAGAGGGGAGAGATGCATAGAAATTATGAAGGCTGCTTGACATGAATGCGTCTTTCAGAGAGTCACAATTCTGCAGTTCAGCCAGTTCCATTTGGTAAATTATATCCACATTTTCAATGTCAATAGAAAATGGATTACGGAAAAGCTGTATGTCCTGTTCATGGAGATGAAGCTCTTTAAATCCAAATTGGAACTCCTTTTGCAATTTTTCCAGTGAATCCACACATGTTTTGTTTGGGAATGCAACCAATGGTTTTTCCGCTAACAGATTTTGAGTTGTGGGGAGATGGCAGAAGTTTTCCTCCTTCACTTGTTTGATGAGGAGGCCTAATTTTACTTCAAATGCTTTGACATGTGATTGCATATCACAGATGAGCTTCCCCTTTCCTTGAAGTTGCACATTGAAACTGTTGAGTAGCTCTGTTACATCTGTCAGAAAGGCAATGTGCCATTTTTATTCTGCATCATTGAGCTCTGGTACTTCTTTGTTTTTTTAAAGCAGAAAAGCTGTAATCTGTGGAAGTAAGTCATAGAAACATTTCAAAACTCTCCCTCGACTCAGCCAACGGACTTCTGTGTGATACAAAACATCTTCATAGTCAACATTTAGCTCAGACAGAAATTCCTGAAATTGTCTGTGGTTTAGTGCATGAGCTCTTATGAAGTTAACACAAGATACCACAATTTTCATAACAGAGTCCTACTTCAGTGATTTACTACACAGCGCTTGTTGGTGGATGAGGCAATGTATGGCTATTGGATGAGAATGGTTATGTTTGTCCATCTCTTGGTTAATGCTAGCAATTACTCCTTTCTTAGACCCCACCATGCTAGGAGCACCATCAGTTGTCACACTGGCTAGTTTAGCCCAGTTCAGCTCCAAACTATTCACAGTTTGGCAAACCTTTTCATAGATATCCTCTCTTCTTGTACTACATATGCAGCACGGGCATATGCAGTACTAATCACATTCCTGCATTTCCCATAAATATGCTAAATTCCTCTTGATATGCAAATTATTTTGTCAAGGCGCTCTTTCCCCCGTTTCCAACCCAGCTTATATATGCTCCAAGCTCGTGTGCTGTTTCATTCAGACGCTGTCTCCCCGACAGACCTGGTTTTCACCTGAGGACGGCTGCTTGTGTTGTGGCCGAAACGTCGTGAGAATTATTTTATTATGTTTTATTATTTTATTATTTCCCTTCTATGTGACTTTACCGAAAGAACCAAGAAGATGAATCCCTGCAGTCACGAAAGCTTTAAATCGAAAGATATCCTCTCCTGTAGATGTTCCTTTGATGCTTTGCAGTGCAGCAAGCTCTTCTGTGACTTCGAAATAGTCATTCGTCCCACGAATAAAAATTAGAAGTTGTGCAGAATCACGAACATTATTGCTTTCGTCGAGTGCCAAGGAAAAATAGGAAAGTTTTTTTGTGGAGTTTTGCAAATGCTGATGCAAATTGTCTCCCATTTCTTCAATCCTCCGTGTAATTGTAGGTCCTGAAAGACTCACTGTACTAAATAAATCGGCCTTCTCTGGACACATCTCTTTGGCAACAGAAAGAAGGCATTCTTTAATAAATTCTCCCTCCACGAATGGTCTGCCAGTGCACGCTATTAGCTTGGCAACTTGAAAACTTGCTCGCAGTGATGAAATATTTATCTGCTTCTGCTTCACAAAAGTATTTTCCTGAGTTGTTAATGTATTTTTCAGTTTTAATATTTGATCTTTTCTCACTTCTCCGACCAAACAATCATATTTATCTTTATGTTGAGTTTCATAGTGTCGACGTAAATTGTATTCTTTGAACACAGACACTATATTCTGGCATATCAGACACACAGCTCTTTCCTTGTACTGCATGAAGAAGTAATCATAAGTCCACTGTTATTTGAATATCTTACACTCCGAGTCAATTTTTCTCTTTCTTGACATCATTGTTTCCTAGGGAGTCAAAATTGCTATTAGTAAAATACCAATATATATAGTGCTACAAAAACAATATACCAGCAATAACTTTGCCCACACAGAGACATACAGACTGCACTGCCCATCAATGCAGTCTGATTGGGGGAACTCCGCCCCCTCTCCCTCTTCCACCAATGACCGTCCTTCTCATGTAGAAAAAAAGTAACAGACAGGCAGCGGCGGCAAAAACACCCGGCGGGCCGGATAAATGTCCTCGGCGGGCCGCATGTGGCCCGCGGGCCGTAGTTTGAGGACCCCTGGTCTAAATGGTAAAATAACACACAGCGTTTACTGAAAGCGAACGCACACTGATGCCTATCTGAATGCAGATTCACATCATCACCCAGCTCAGAAATCCTCCCTTATCAAGACACTCATACATCGGGCTAAAACAGTGTCAGATGGTGAAAGTCTAGTGAGAGAGATTAAACATGTTAAAGAAGCACTAAGGCAGAATGGCTACAATAATGCTCAATTAACAGAGCACTAAATGCCAAATCACGATCGAAAAGCAACACTGCTGAAAGCGATCAAAGTGTTACAAATTTCAAATGCCATCCTTCTCAGGAGTAACTGACAAATTAGCCCGTGTTTTACAAAAGCAAAACATTAAAGTAAGATTTGGTACAGTAAACAAAATAAAAAAATAGTATCTTGCACTATAGACGAATTGCCTAAATTACTAACAGAAGGTATATATCGGATGAATTGTTTATGTGTCAGATGCTATGTTGGTCAGCCTAGACGTAAGATCAGCGTAAGACTAAAAGAACACCAAATAAATATTAAATTATTTCAAACACAACTGTTGGCAGTGGCAGAACATGATTGTCAACTCAATTGATTTTGACAACGTTGAAGTTTTGTGTAAAACTAACATAATGAGGCATGAAGACAAAAGTTTAAATATTAGTTGATAAACATTGAAAACAATTAAAAACGCTGTTGCTTAAAACATACTTTGAAATAAAAACAGATAAAGATAAACATGAGAAAAACAAGTAAACCTTTTAATCAGAATGTTTCTACAAGGTGCGGTTCCGCTCTGGAAATGCGCACAGCCTCACCCTACTCTGTGTGACAAACCATCATTGCTGTCTCCCTCGCTACTGCTGGGTTTGTATAAATGTGATACAACTTGAGAACTGGTAAAACTTAACACAGTGCGAGACTATATCGCTACACCCACACAAGTGCGTATACGGCCGTCTTGTGGAACATTCCAGGGCGTGTCTCGTGGCGTTATACCTCAACTGCAGGCAAAGTCAGTTCATTGTCTTGTTCGGCATTGCTGTATGCGCTGCTCACACAGCGTCTCCAAACCAGTGAGCGACTGACTCCGAGGTTAAGCTCTAGATAATGGCGAGCGCGTCTCCCGGTGATGGTGTAGATAGTGAGTTGACCTGCTCTATCTGCCTGGGCACGTTTGATCGCCCCTCTACGCTGAGCTGCGGACACTCGTTCTGCCTCCAGTGCCTGGAAGCCACCTGGGAGCTGGCCATCTCCTACTCCTGCCCGCAGTGTCGAGTGACCTTTCTTCAACGACCCCAGCTGACTAGGAACGTGACGCTCGCCAACCTCATAGATCAGCTGTGAGTGACCGAGACCATGGCTGCTGCTGCTGCTGTTATTTTCTGTGACCACTGCCCAGAAGGCAAGACTCCTGCAGTGAAGACCTGCCTCAAGTGTGAGACGTCCTTCTGCACGGAGCACCTCGCGCCTCACCTCGAAAGGGAGAAGTTTAAGGAGCACGTCCTCGTTCCGCCAGATGTGAACCCCGAACGCAAGTGCAAGAGACACAACAAAGAGCTCGGGTTCTACTGCAAGCAGGACGCGAGTTTGGTTTGCAGGGACTGCACCATCGCCGAACACAAAGTGCACAATGTCAGCACGCTGGAGCAAGAGCACGAGACGCAGAAGGTGAGGACTTCTGTGAAGTCACTCAAGGGAAAACCACGCAGCGACACGAGCTAATAAAAATATTGAACTGGGCTCACAACAATGTCTTGGAATTAATGGTCGTGGATTGGTTTCTTTCTCCACCGTTGCTTCCTTTTCAGACTTTTCATTCGGCACAGGTGAAATCGCTGGCCTCGTTTGTGATCGGCAGTTTTTGTTGTATGGTCGGGTGTTTGTGCGTGCCTGCAATCCAGCACTGTAGGGGGGCGGTGAGTGTTGGTGGTGGATTGCACAAATGTCGTGAAACTCCCTTCCCCGGGGTTGGGGGAGTCACGGTGCCATAACCCTGGTTCGCGTGTGGATTAATCTCAATCTGTTTCCATCTGTATGGGAATTGATTATCCCCACTGTATCCCCCCTAACCCTAAACATTCTTCGTTTATTGTTTTTTTTACCTTTACTTTCCTTTCCCAGATAAAAAAATATAATCATTCATTAATGGCGTTTCCCAAACATCCCAATCCTCGAGGCCACAGAGGCTGGGAAAATGTTGGCGCCAGTTTTGTCTGCCTTCTCGCTTCTCTGTGGTTTCCTCAATGTTCAAAGCCACGGCTTGCAGAGATTAAGTACATTCTAGATAAGTTTTCATGACTGCAAGGATTCATACTCTTAGTTCTTTCGGTAAAGTCACGTAGGTAAAAAATGAAATTAAAATTAATAAAAATAAAATAAAAAATCACGACGTTTCGGAGGCAACACAAGTCTCCGTCATCAGGTGGACCGAGACTTGTGTTGCTTCCGAAACTTTGTGATTTTTTATTTTTTAATTAATTTTAATTTCATTTTTTACCTACGTGACTTTACCGAAAGAACTAAGAGTATAGATTAAGTACATGTATGAGGTTGGAACCTGCAATTTATTATCACCTCCTAGCATGGGTCATAATAATGATAATGTTTTGCATTTATTAGGCACCCTTCTTCACAATATCTCAAGGTGCCATGCGTGAAGAGGACCAAAATAAAACTAGAGAATTGAGTGACGATAGGAACAAAGCAATTTCACAAACGTTGGCTGTTAAAAAGTTAATTGGTTGATGAATCTGCATTGAGTAAAGATACTTAATTCGGTTATCGGATTCACCGAGTCTATATTTATATGTTTAGCATGTGGCGGTGGCATACTATATTGGAGTTTTTCGCAATAATTATTCAATTCCTACGATTCGCAACCCCGGTCAGAAAATCCGATGGGTTACGTCAAAGTCACTTCTCGTGATGTCGAAGCAGTCGGAACGACGAATGTTATGAGCGGCTTAACACGAAGTTTCACAGTCTGTTGCCGTATAGCAGCACCCAGCCCGATGACGCTCGGCTGTCCATGTTCCAAAGGCAGATTTGACTTGTGCCCTAGACTTGGTAAGATGGTGCCTCAGTTCGTTTCGGGAATGGTTTTTTGGCGGACGTTGGCATCACGAAGATTAAGACTCATGTCACACGTTCCAATGAGAGAGCGGCTGCTGAATCTAAGGCGACTTCTGATGGAGAGATTCTGCAGCAGCTCACCCAAGGGCAAATGCTACATCGTCAGAGTGTTTTATGAGGACTGGTGTGCTATGCTACCGCCAATTCGTCCATATGTGTAATGCGAGTGTAAATGGGGTTGTTGGTGGGCTCTGGTCCAATCACACGGCCCGGGGTAATGGGGGGCGGAGCCTGGTCTGCGGGGCGTGTGGGAGGGGCCACCGTCCACCTCGGCTCCAATGGGAGGTGAGGTAAATGGGGGCGGAGCCAGCGGGGTAGTATGGGAAGGCCGGATCTGACAATCCGGAAGGGGAGGAGTCAGGGTCACGTGGGGGGAATGGATATAAGTGGGAGCCCGGAAGAGATCGGGGCAGTCGGGAAAGTTAAGAGGCTGAGCCACGTTGGGTGGTGAGGAAAGATCCGCGCCATCGGCCACGTGGCCGAAGGACCTCAGCACGCTGTCGGCCAGCGGAGTGCGGGAATAGAGGAGCTAACGGAGGAGCGTGCGGGGCACGCGAGAGGGAGCGTGCGCGGGGTGCGCGCGAGACGACACTGGTCCGAGAGGAGGCCAGTGGGGGGTGCGGAGAAGAACCTAAATAAAAGACAAACGGAGACCAGCATCGCCTGAAGGAGTCTTTTATTACAGATGTAAAAATCTTTTTTTTTCAGCATAGTGTGGGCAGAGACCATGTATGGGGCTTCTCAGATACCCAGAGTTCTATGTCGACATTTAAGGAGTTGACACAATGGCCGTTGCTGTAGCTTCCATGGGGAAAAGGTTGTTTCACGTAAGGCATCGACCTCTGATAGGGCGAGAGTCATTCACGGCCCCATGTCCACTAAATGTGCTCGCGTGAAAATGTTTGTCGAAGTTATCGCTATAATTACAATTAAATATCGCAAGGTTTATAATGTTGTGGATTCCGCGTATATTGAAAGCTATTTTTGACACACAGAGACTGACACTTTTTTTACAGGGTATTCAAAATTGGCAGTTGCAGCAATGTTAACCATGGAAACGCTACACACAGAACATAAACAAGGGACTTTCCCCAGCAATACCGCCATTGGGGTATAAACGTCATCAAAATTATATATTTAAAAAATATCTAGTTTTTTTTTATTTAGGTATGCACACACAAGTCTGGTACAATGCAAAGGGGGGTGGGGTAAGGGTGGCCTTTCCGGCACTTGCACAAAGTTTAGGAATGGGGAGAACAACATTCTAGGTGCACAACACATGGGCGGCAGGATGGTCAGAGTTCAAGAGTTTGTGCTCTTTGATGGGTGGTGAGAGGGGGGGGGGGTGAAGGGAGGTGGGAAAAACAGTAACCAACGTTCTCGGGGTAGATCGGGGTGTAGGGAGGGGGTGACGAAGGACCACACACACATTTCAAATCATATAACATACACGCGGCTTTTGTGAGATGAGGTGACATCCTCTCCTCCTAGATTTGAAGCTTTCGTGACTGCAAGGATTCATACTCTTAGTTTTTTCGGTAAAGTCACGTAGGTAAAAAATTTGAAATTAAAATTAATTATTATATTTTTATAAATTTTAATTTAAAAAAATATTTTACCTACGTGACTTTACCGAAAAAACTAAGAGTATGAATCATCTCCTTCCATCTCGGGCCCATCCGCTTCATCCCATCACCGGGGCGTCTCCACCCCTCTGTTGTTTTAAACTTCCGAGGAAGGTGGGCGGGGGTTCCATCTGGCCTCAAAAGAGCCAGTGAAGACTGAAGACCAGCTAGCTAGCCTTGGGACTACCCTGACTCGCTGCTCTTGTAAGAGCCGAGCAGGGCAAGCCAGGGGCGACCTCAGAGCAGCGAGGTATGTGTCCTTGTGAGGGCCAGGCTCGTGTTGTGAGGGTCGGACCTGAGCCGAAGCTGGGCCAGGTGAGTTGGCCTCTATAGGATGGTCTGGGTTAGAGGGGTGTAGTAGGAGCTAACGGGGAAACGTTAGCCGAGGGACACTGCCTCGGATAGAACCGGGTGAAGGGGCCGTTACCCCTTCCAGTGTTAGGGTGCGCTACGTACTGTATAGTACCCATTTGTTAATAAATACGTGTTGCCTCCGTCAAACGTCTCCTGTGCTATTTCTCTTTAAGCAGGTGGTCGGTACCCGCGTGTGCTGGCGGGGTGTTGCGCCATTGTCCCCGCGTAGGGTAGGTTCATGGTCTTTCCAGTTATCAGATCCAGAATATGTATTTATACAGGAAGAAACAATATGTTCCACACTGCCCACCATGGATTTTTGGTCTGTCTGACTGTCTGTCGTGCATAAATATATATATATAATATAAACAGCTCTTTGATTGGTGGAGACCAACTGCCGGGTACGGAGAGGGGAGGTGCCTAAGGGAGGAGGGTCAGGGGAGGGGCCTAAGGAAGGGGGGAGTCAGGAGAAGGGCCTGAGGGGGGGGTCAGAGGAGGGGCCTAAGCAAGGGAGGGGGGCCGATAGTTAAGGGGGCTGGCTAACTGGCTGGCTGCCTGGCTACCTCAAGTCAAGTGATCTTGTACACAGGTAAGAACAACAGGTTCCACACTGCCCACCAGGGATTATTTGTCTGTCGTGCATATTTGTCTGTCGTGCACGAATGCGCTGTCCAACCAAGTTCCTACCTGCCCACTCCGAAGGAACGTGTTTTTGGAGGAATCCGATAAGCTATAAAGCTCTTTTTTACAGATGTTCAGTAGAGGCACGGGGTAAGAACGTTACAACAACAAACACAATACCAAGACACGATAGTAGTGCAAAGTATAGGTAGGTAAACAAATCACCCAAACACAGACAAATACAACATTAAACCATCCCCATCCTACCAGACAAAGTCCACTGAGGTATTAACTTATTGTTCAGAAGCGACATGGTAACAAATGATAGTGCAACAAAATATATTTTCGTTCTGTCTGCTTGTTTAAACCAGAAAAGCCTTAAATTTTGATTTAAAGTTTGCGTGACTGCAGGGATTAATATTCTTGGTTCTTTCGGTAAAGTCACGTAGAAGGGAAGTAAAAAAATAAAAAAATATAAAACAATAACATTCTCACGACGTTTCGACTGCAACACAAGCAATCATCATCAGGTGTGAAATCCACAGCAAGAAAATTCCAAATTTCAAATTTTCTTGCTGTGAATTCACACCTGATGATGATTGCAACACAAGCAATCATCAGGTGTGAAATCCACAGCAAGAAAATTCCAAATTTCAAATTTTCTTGCTGTGAATTCACACCTGATGACGATTGCTTGTATTGCTGTCGAAACGTCGTGAGAATTTTATTGTTTGATATGTTTCTTATTTTATTATTTCCCTTCTACGTGACTTTACCGAAAGAACCAGAAAAGCCTTGCTGAGTCTCAGGACTGTCTTAACCAGGAGGATCCTGCCATGATTTGCCATTAGGGGGTGATGATTGCCGGGTGTAAAAAATCCCGATGGAGAACATTTGCAGGACACTTGGCCTATTTGGACTATGACCCACCAACACACACATTATATCACGAGATCTTTAGTTTAGGGTGGTGTATAGTAACGCAGTGTGTAATTTAATGTTGTGTTTGTCTATGGCAGTGTATAGTATGGGGTATATCCGTGTGATGTAAGAAAAAAGTTTAGCTGGAGGCATATTATATTTTTTGCGACGTATAAGTGTAATGTATGACGTACTGTTAGTAGCTCAGCTTATTGGAGAGTATATTGCGTATATTGATTATATTGATGTGGTGGTTTGGCTGCTGTAGCTCCTTACTATAAAAATTTCCCTCCCTTTATTACAGCTAATCCTACTTCCTCCCTTTCTGACTGCTAATCCTACATAATACACGAGCATAATATGACTTTGAGACCCCCCAACCACCTACACATTCCACAAATAGTGACTAATCCCATATCTGCATTTTCCATAAATATACTAAATTCATCTGTTGATATGTAAATTCCTTTGTCAAGGAGCTCTCCTCCTCTAACACAGCTTAAATATACGATGCCAAGCTTTGTGGTGTTCATTCGGACACTGTCTTTCCGACAGCCCTGTTCTTCACCTGAGGACGGCTGCTTGCGTTGTGGCCGAAAAGTCGTGAGAATTGTATTTTATTATGCTTCATTTTTAATATTTTATTATTTCCCTTCTATGTAACTTTACCGAAATAACCAAGAGGAGGGATCTTTAGTGTCCACTGTGAGTGAAACAGACGGCGCGTAGCATCATTTTTCAATGGTTAATGTACAGCAGTATTAATCAGGGCAGGCACTGGGCTTGAACTGTGAACATCTGCAACGAGGGCAACCATGCTACGGCGAGGCGATGTCACCATCCCGCCGTGGAAGGGGTCTGTGGAGTGGGGTTGAGAGAAGGTAATCAAGGAGCAAACACCGTCATCACGCAAACTCCGGTCATCCTTGCAGTCGCGGCTTTTTGACTGGCCATCGTTCGACGACAGTCACTGCATAGCGAGGCGTTTTCGGATGCATTTCTGCGGCCATCTGGAACGCTCTTCCTTCCGATATAGGGAAGCAACTGCAGCCATGCACTTTGAAATCATAATTAAAAGCGAAATTCTTTAAAACTCCTTTTTGCATTTAGCGTGTTGTCATTCCTCTGATGAACACGGTTTTCTACGTGTGGTGCGAAATAAGTTCTACATACATACAGAGTTTGGAGTCTCTACTGGTGACGTATGTATGTTATACTTCTTTCGCACCATAAGTTGCCAACCGTGCTAATTGGAGGTGCAAGAGAAGGACTACAAACTAACATCTCGCCTCCTACAGGATCAAGTCGGAGAGGAGACGCGAGCGGTGGAGGACAAGAGGAGGGAGGCGGAGGCGTCTGTTGGACGCATGGAGGCCACTCGCGAGGACGTGCAGGTTCTGTGACCCCATAACCTCCACCTTGTGTGAGATCTGTGACTCTCCGTTTGAGAACAACTCCGTAGTTTCAAGTGAACTTCGTATAACAAACTTCCCCTCAACATTAACTAATCTCCTTCAATTTAAAGCTTTCGTGACTTCAGGGATTCATCTTCTTGGTTCTTTCAGTAAAGTCACGTAGAAGGGAAATAATAAAAATAAAACATTATCAAATAATTCTCACGACAGATCTGTTCTTCACCTGAGGACGGCTGCTTGCGTTGTGGCCGAAACGTCGTGAGAATTATTTTATTATGTTTTATTTTTATTATTTCATTATTTCCCTTCTACGTGACTTTACCGAAAGAACCAAGAAGATAATCTCCTTCACTCGCTAGTTTCCACTCCGCACTCAAAACTCACTTATTTTCCCGAGCTCACCACACAACCCCTTAATTTCCACCGCATATCCGCCATCGCGACTTTTCCCTCTACATTTTCTCATGGCTCTCACTCATTTCCCTTTCATTCAATCCGCTCGTCATCACTTAAATTTTGCTTTCACCGATTTCATTGCTTTCTGTCATCTATTTCAGTAACCTCATCTCCACCATTACATTCATACGTAATATTGTTAATTCTGTGTAAAGTGCCTTGTATAAGGCGCTATTCAAATTATGTTAAGATAAAGCAATACAGTAGTCCAATGGTTAACGTTTTTTATCCACTCCACGAAAACTACTGTTTACCGAAATAACTGTTAATCGAATTCACTTCTGAGTTGAAAAATACGTAAAAATCACAGAGTTTGCAAGAGAGCCGTTTCCACTGCCTAAACAGAAAACGTACAGTTGAAAACAAAGGCAGTCGAGGTCTGAACGCTCATAAATGGTGCGTTGCTGATCGAATGAGGCGTGGTCAGCACCGACTTACTTACGATTGGCCGAAATTGGCACCCACGTACATAGAACGTAAAAATATCGATAGTCAACATTTTACCGTTAGTCGAAACCATGGGATCCTATGGAAGCCTAAACATTAATCGAAAACTCGTTAACCGATTTCACTGTTAACTGAGTGACTCCTGTATTAGTGTCTCGTTCCGGGCTTCCCCCATTTATCAAACGAATGACGTTACATCTGAATCCACCACCCAATATTGTGGCTACAAAAAAAATTAGTTTAGCAGATTACATTTTTTGTGCATAAACGTCATATTTCTTTAAAGGTTCAGATGCACTGTGTAGCCCTTTTAAAGAACCATTACATGTGTAATAAAAGGACTCAGACACTTCTTTCTGTCTTCGTGTCCTTTATTGGGTTCTTGTCTTCTCCCACACGGCACTCTGTTATAACTCTGTATTTATAGCCCCCGGCTGTTGACTCTCTTTTATAGCTTCCTTTCTCTTCCTGCAGACTCTCTGCTTCATCTACCGTAACCTCCTCCCTGCAGACTCGCTGCTACCCCTATGCAGACTCTCGCTGCCACCCCTATGTGCAGACCCTCTGGCTGCTACTGTATGCAGACCCGCTGCTGACTCTGTATGCAGCCCCGCTGCTGACTCTCTGTGCAGCCCCGCTGCTGACTGCAGCCTCCTCGCTGCTTCGGGTCGGTCACCGCTGGCCAACGGTGCCGATCCTCGCTCCCCCGTGTTCGTGGCGATCTCGCCACCCTCCGCTTCGCCCTTCGTGGCCTCTCTCTGTTCCTGGTTCCCCGTCACTCTCCTCCTCTTCCGGTTCCCCTGCTTCTATATCTTAACCCCTCTCCCCCCACGTGACCTAACTCCTCCCCTCATGACGTCACCTCCGGAGGGCCGTTTACGCCCGCATTACATCACCCTCCCCCATAAAGAAAATCCAGCCGACCTCGGCTGAATTGCAACCTGACAAGCAATGCGGGTGTAAAGGACCAACACGTAAAAAGACACGAAGCATGCAACAACAATATAACAAGAACACAACACAACACAATTTTAACGAAACGTGAGGGATTTCGAGCGAGTACGGGTAGCCGGGCCGTCCCGGACGGTCGGCAGCCCACCCGCTGAGCGGGAACGTGGAAGGGTTTTAAGGGCGATGGGAGCGAGTTCATCCGTCGCCATTGGAGGCCCGCCACTGTCCCGGTCGCGTCCAGAGACATCCCGTAATTGCGTCCGCGGAGGGATAGGAAGAGCTGCAGGTCCCGTAGGTTCTGCGGCTCCGGTCGGCATCCCACGAGCGGAACGTCCTCCTCCCTGCGGCGTCACGGCCGGCTTGTCTGTGAAGGGTACGACAGGCGCTCTCGCAAGGTCAGCAGACACAGGCAAGGGCGAGTCGGCAGCAACAGACCCCGGCAAGGCAACTTCGGGAGATGACGCATCCGGCCGCGGGGCAATGTATGGCTTCAACCGGGATGTATGCACGAACCAGCGCCGCGAACCAACCTGAACACGCGCCGACTGTGGGTTGGGAACCTCAATGAGGCGGACCGGACCTTGCCACGGTTTATGTAATTTAGGAGAGGTACCTGGCCGCACCTGCGGGCAATGAAGCCAGGCCAGGTCCCCCTTTTTCCAGGGGCACTCCCCCTTCGAACGTCGGGCACACCGCTCATTCCTGGCCTGGGCTTTGGCTGTAGCCATGCGGGCTCTTTCCCTCGCCTCAGTGACACGGCGAACGTTGTCCTGAATATACTCAGGAAGAGGCTTAACAGGTCCCCTCGCACCGGTTCCCAACTGCTCATTAATCGGCGGCACATTTTCACGGCCGTACATAAGAAAGAACGGCGAGTATCCAGTAGCCGCGTGCGGCGTCATGCGATACGCCGAAAGCACCCCAGGGATATGCAAATCCCAATCAGATTGATTTTCCCCGACCGTATGGCACAGCATGGCGGACAGAGTCCGATTCAACCGTTCCACCATACCATCCGTTTGTGGGTGGTAGGGGGATGTCCGTATCTTTTTAGTTCCAAGAGCCGCACACACCTCCCCCAAATAGAAAGGCGTCAGTGATAGACGCCGCTGACTGGTCAGGCAAAGGCCAGGCCATCGGCCAGCGGGAGAGGTACTCCACCCCCACCAGTAAATACTTATTTCCCTTAGCGGATGGCGGAAAGGGTCCCAAAATATCTAACGCCACCAGCTCATTAACCCGAGATACTTGAATCGATTGTATCGGCGGAACATATGGATGTTTTTGGCGGCTTACGGCGGGCACAATCGAGACACGCGCGAACGTGACCGACGACATCTGTCGTCATGCCGTGCCAATAATAGTCTCGTTGCAGCGTCAATAGGGTTTTCTGCACCCCCAGATGTAAAAGTGTGTCACAGTGCAAAGATCTGATCAACTCGTACCGCAATGACGCAGGTACAACGAGACGCCAGTGTTCCTGTATCCCTTCCCTCCACATCAGCAACCCATCTCGGAGAGCAGTTTCCGAAATACCACCCGCACCGAGTTCCTTACCCGCCTTCTCCGTTCGTTTTCGTAACGACACCAAAGAATCGTCCAACATTTGCTCCCGAATCCACACAGACCTCGGAAGACGCAAAATCCCGTCAGTCGGTCCCCCATCAACCGGTCCCGGTGTAAGCGGAGTTTCGAGAACATCCACCGACAGCGCGACAGGCTGAGGGGGGAGCTGAATCGGTCCACACCTATGCGTCCCCGACGCACACGCACAAGGGGATTGTTGCGGCAACCTGGAAAGTGCGTCCGCGTTAGCGTGACGCACACCCTTCCGATGATGAATTTGGAAGGAAAATTCTTGCAGCGTGTCCAGCCACCTCGCCAATTGTCCGGATGGCTGGTCCATCTTAAGAGCATACTGCAAGGCCGCATGGTCCGTGCGGACAATAAACGACCGACCGTACAGATACTGTCGAAATTGGCGGAGAAAAAAAACAATGGCCAAAAGTTCCCTGCGAGTGACGCAGTAACGGGTTTCCGCGGGAGACAAAACTCGACTCCCATACGCCACCACACGCTCAACACCACCTTTTGACTGGGACAACACCGCCCCAATACCATCGCATCAGTATCCAGAATGAAGGGATGTCCAAAATCCGGATAATCCAACGTCGGTGCAGTAGCCAGTAAATCGCGCAGGCTCCGAAACGCCGCCTCCTCCGGCGGTCCCCACACAAATTTATGCCCCTTCCCAATAAGGAGATGCAAAGGCCTGGCGATAGTAGCGAAATTCGGAACAAACCTCCGATAATATGAGGCGAACCCCAAAAACCGACGCACATCACCCACCGTGGCCGGGGTTGCCCAATCCCGGACACACGCAGTTTTCTCTGGATCCGTGGCCACCCCGTCCGCACTAACAATATGTCCCAAGTATCGAACGGAGCGTTGCAGTAGGTGACATTTCTTAGGCTTGAATTTCAAATTAGCAGAACGCATTCTGGCGAATACAGCCTCCAACCGCAGTAAATGCTCATCAAATGTGCGGCTGAAGACTATAATATCATCTAAATAAATGAGACATGTCTCCCACTGCAACCCCGTCAATACCAACTCCATCAACCTCTGAAAAGTGGCAGGGGCAGCATTCAACCCCATCGGAAGACAGTTAAATTGGAATAACCCCTGCGGCGTACGGAAAGCTGTCTTTTCTCGCGAGGGCTCATCAAGGGGGAGCTGCCAGAAGCCCGAAGAGAGATCTAGCATTGAAAAAAACTTAGCCCCTGACAAGGCGTCGAGAGAATCGTCCATACGCGGCAGGGGATACGCATCTGCCACCGACACTTTATTCAACTTCCGAAAATCCACACAAAATCGCAATTTACCATCCTTTTTTTTAACCAACACAACAGGCGCGCCCCACGGGCTATTAGACGGAGATATAATATCCGCTTTCAACATGTCTTCCACTGCCCCTCGAACATGCTCACGCTCAGCCGGACTTATCCGACGCGAGTTCAAACGGATAGGGGCAGCGTCCTCCGTGTCGATATGATGAGAGAGCAGCGAGGTGCGTCCCAAGTCCAAATCGTCCGAGCTAAACACATCGGAATAGCTCGATAATAATTTATGAATCGCACAACGCTGCTCGGCGGAAAGGGCCGAATTTTCCCCACATAATTCGGCGATCCAACGATCATCAACCCCTCCATCGTGTGAAACACCACCCACCAGCCCCCCGTCCGGCAGGTCACTCTGAGCCGTAAACGCCGTAGTGGCATGTGCCACAACGGTACCAGCCGGCACACACACGCTTTCAGCACTCGCATTTAACACCTGCAAAAACGGGCGCTGATCTGGACGGACAATAGTTTGCGCCCCTACCAGCGCTAAGCCGCCCGTAACCGCGGCGGACGGCGACAGCAAAATCCCAAAAGCACCCTGCCGACCCGGAACCGGCTTCCGGTATCGCAAGGGAATGAGCATCTGCGAGCCAGGTGGAATATCAACCGAAACTTCCGATAGCGCCTGCACCTGGGTGACAGGAGCCGGTCGCCCCCAGGCGGACTGTAAAAATGCCAATTTCCGGCCCCCCGGTAGTTCTATGCAATTTTCATTGATTCTAATTAGAATGGGCATCTTAGCCAAAAAATCCGTACCCAACAGGCAAGGAACCGCCAGGGACCTCGAAATCAACACAACGCCCGAGGCCGAGACACCCCCGATAGAAATGTTAGCGTCCACCTGTCCCACGATGCCCATACTACCCCCGTTCGCAGCGATGCAGGAAGCGTAAGCCGGCCTCACGGCCCCCGGTGGGATGTTCAAAAGATGGAATATCACATCCGAAATAATGGTCGCGGACGCACCGGAATCCACCAAAATACGTACGTCCACCCCTTGGATGGACCCAGGTACAGTGGACGAACCGGTAGCGGCCGCGACAACCCGCCGAGCCAGCTTACGCCACTGCGTTATCGAGCGACAAGGCTCAGATACTGGCCTCCAGCATTTAACAACATCCGAGTCGCATAACAACGGCGATGAGTGAGGTGTCAGGCCTTGCCGGGTGTCTGGTGCGCACCGACTTGCCTGTGCTGGAGGGTCTTTCTTTGGGGCGTCCGCTGTCGAGGCCTCCTGCTGGGGCGGCCCCGGAACCCGGGCCCAGCAGTCCCTGGCATAGTGGCCCCGACGGCCGCAACGGAAGCAGTCGACGTCGGGGCGGCGCGCAACGGGCACCCCGTCCCGACGCGGCCGCACCGGCGGCGGAGCCCGCGGCCCCGGCCCGCTCCGGCCCGGCCACGGAGCAGAGGCAGCCGACAACTCCTTCTGGCCGGTCGCATCCGGCACGTACACGGCCTTTGTAGGGTCCCACCCTACGGCCCCCCCATCGACAACAGGACCGCCCGTCCACGCCGTGACCTGTTTCCAGCGGCGGAGATTGAACTGGGCGTCAAGACACTTGGCTGCGGCCCGGGACGTGAGTTTTTCGTGACCGCACGCTGGCATAGGAATGCCAAGATCTCGGGACAACTCCAACATCTTCCCCAAGATGAGAGGTTCCAGCAGGTCAGGCTCCGTCTCCGGGTAAGCGGCCATAGCAAGTTCCAACACGGCGCCCCTGTACGCCACAGGTGACTCCTCAGGTGCGCGTTGCCGCTGCACGAATCGGCGATGGGCGTCATCCGGTGGCTCGTACGCGTCCGCCATTTCCTCGAACACCCCTCGCAGAGTTTTCTTCTTCGCAGCTTTTATAGAGCGAAAAAAACGAACGGACTCATCATCAAGAAGAGTCGGGAGCACCTCCAGTGCCTCAGCGTCCGTCCACCTTGCCGTACGTACCGCCGCCAAAAATCTACAGGCGAACGCACTCCAATCGCCCCCGATGGAGAATTCTTTGACGGTTGTAAGGTGACGACTGCGACTCCTTGGCTTGCTTCCGTCCGTCGCTGACTCTTCCGGCGGTAAGTTCAGCAAGGCGTCGCAACGTGGTGTCGCCAAGATGGCGGACGATCCTCGCGGCGGCCCCAAAATGGCGGCTTCCCGCCTTCCGTGGTGCGCCACGCCCAAGATGGCGTCTTCACGCCGCGTGGCCGATGGCGGCGCCATCGAAGACACTCCGGGCTCCTGCCGATCACCACCCTCACCTTCCAACGCCGCCCTTGGCGTGACAAGCTCACACAACTCAGTGATGACGTTTTTGAGAGTTGCCAGTTGCTCCGCCATCCGAGTCCATCTTAAATCCTCGTCCTTCAACGCAGATGGGTCGGACGAAGCGGCAACCTCCTCGACACCCGGGCCCTCACGGATCTCTCCCTCCGCCGAAGTGAAGCCGACCGCAGGAGGAAGATCGTCGTCGTCCGAAGATGAAGCCGACGCCGGAGATGGAATATTCTTTTTCCTCAATTGTTTCGCCATGCCGTTTCACTTCTGACTCCAGTGTAATAAAAGGACTCAGACACTTCTTTCTGTCTTCGTGTCCTTTATTGGGTTCTTGTCTTCTCCCACACGGCACTCTGTTATAACTCTGTATTTATAGCCCCCGGTTGTTGATTCTCTTTTATAGCTTCCTTTCTCTTCCCGCAGACTCTCTGCTTCATCTACCGTAACCTCCTCCCTGCAGACTCGCTGCTACCCCTATGCAGACTCTCGCTGCCACCCCTATGTGCAGACCCTCTGGCTGCTATTGTATGCAGACCCGCTGCTGACTCTGTATGCAGCCCCGCTGCTGACTCTCTGTGCAGCCCCGCTGCTGACTGCAGCCTCCTCGCTGCTTCGGGTCGGTCACCGCTGGCCAACGGTGCCGATCCTCGCTCCCCCGTGTTCGTGGCGATCTCGCCACCCTCCGCTTCGCCCTTCGTGGCCTCTCTCTGTTCCTGGTTCCCCGTCACTCTCCTCCTCTTCCGGTTCCCCTGCTTCTATATCTTAACCCCTCTCCCCCCACGTGACCTAACTCCTCCCCTCATGACGTCACCTCCGGAGGGCCGTTTACGCCCGCATTACACATGTTACATCACTCACACCAGTCTACAATACCAATGAATTAATGGGTAGCTATGAATATTTTGGTGACAATCAGGTTGATATTTTTGCTTATATATGCATTTAGCAATGATAAATGTCACGTACGTGAATGCCTCACAACGATTCTTTATTGTGTCATCACCGACGCAATGATCTGTCCAGGCATTGTTAATCGGTCAAAGGAGAGCAAATGTCGCATGTTTTAGAGCTGTACGAATAGGGAACGATTTAAACCCACGCTTGTCTCAACAGCAGTGGCGGCTCCTGCAAAATCTCTCAGGGGGGGCAAATGTCTGGATGATTGATAAGGATAAGGTCCACCCATGCAATGGATAAATTAACAGCTTAAGCATGTAAAGGCAACTTCACTTCTTTAATAATAATGAAAAATAAAGTGACTCTTACAATACATCTTGTTTGTTTCTATACTCACTATTGAAACAAACCACTCAAGTTTATTTTATTAAAGATTCCACTAGGTGGCGATAAATTATATTGTTGGATGAAACGTGCTTACGTATGATGACGTTAGCACGTATGATGACGTAAGCACGTTAGGGCGAGCCCTCCCGGAAGCCATAGAGAATGCATTGGAGCGCCCGCCGTTCGAAAAAAAACATCTTTCAATGTAAGTCTATGGGGCCACTCGGGGCGATTCTCAGCCGGAGTGAAATCGCACAAAAAGAGGCGGTACTCCACAGAACGTGACATGACGCTGATTGGACTATATCCAGAGGCACAGTGATGGCTAGCGTGACTCTGTGGTTGAATGACATTGGTGGTGCGTCGCCCAATTGCCCTAATGAAGAAACCGCCCCTGCTCAACAGGGATCAATGACTGGTGTGAAGGAGCAAATCAAAATCAGGTGCACCCGCCTGAGAAAGGCACTGGATGAAGACGAGAAGGCGGCTTTACATCGCGCGGAACTGAAGGAGAAGGAGCTGCTGTCCCAGATCGACAAGAACATCGCCCATCACAAGCACGAGATCAGCGAGCTACAGGCAGCAGCCGCGCGCCTGCGCACTCTTCAGGAGGAGGGGGACCCGCTCACGTTCCTGCAGGTAGAGCGCTCGCGAAGCCAGGGCGAGTGCCCCAGTTTGGCAGAGCCCTCAGAAGTGCAATAAACCTTCTCGAGACGACTTCTGGAATCAGTCCTTTATTTTCCACTTCCACAGTTACACACACACACTCCCCGTTGCTGGCAGGCAACGTGAAGCGGGCAGACAGCCAGCGAAGTCGCACCGCGCGCACGTGGCACCCAGAGCCCCGTACGCGCGTGGCTCCTGCTCTCTTCGTTCACAGGTCTCCTCCCGACCCCTCCGTCTCTCCCCCTCTTAACCCCTGGGTCACGTGGTACTCCTAAGCCAATCCTCAGTAGTCAGCGTCGACCGCTCCAGATCACTCCCCGTCAATTCCCGGGACCACGCCTCTGATCCGGCTTCCCATTAGCTGAGGCAAAGATCGGCCAAGCCAATCATCTTAGCTAACATGCCGTGATCACGCCGAGGCCATGCTCCCGGGCTCTCCCCTCATTGGCTACAAAGCGGGACCGGCAAGCCGATCGCCACGTGAGCCATACATGGTTCTTATTACAGAAGTATAGAGACTCCTGGCTCAAAGGTTCACGTATATTAACAAATGTGTGTGTGTGTTCAACTACGGTTGCTGAGCACAGGCCCCCAAGGCGTATAAAAAAGTGGCTTAACACGTAGGAGGGTTTTGCGACCAATGTCATTCATAATAGAGGGTTTTTTTAGGGTTGGATCGCGTAAATATATAAATGTTGTGTCGTTAATACCCGCCACCACCCGACACAGCCAACTAGTAAGGGTTGTCAGGTTAATAAAACGTGTCAATTCGTCACTAGTACAGCACACCGGTGTGTTGGAGAGCCAAGCCACAACATTTACAATCTGATTAACGTCGTACTCAGATTGGTGAAACGTCGTACTCAGATTGTAAATGTTGTGGCTTGGCTCTCCAATACACTGGTTAGTGCTGTACTAGTGACGAACTGACACATTCTGTTTACGTGACGACCCTAACTAGTTGGCTGTGTCGGGTGGTGGCGGGTTTTAACGACACATTTACATTTATACTCGATCTAACCCCAAAAAAACCCCTCTTATGGAAACAAGTGGATTGCTGCTGATAGCATTGATAATATGTCAAATTACAACACACGCACAGTTATAGGAACTCTGGATTAGTAAAGGGGGAAATTCAAGGATGAGGAAAGGAGAAAGAGAAATGTGGTGTCCTGCAATACGGTTGGTAAACAAGGTACGGATGAAAGAGTCATTCCTGCATAATGCGTCCTTGACATTGGAGTCATCAAGACGTGAAGTTTATTGAAACGGTGGCTGTGGTTGTAGCAAACTAATTATAATGACACTCTCAGATGAAGGGTTCAGATGATCGGAGCTGGAGAACATAGCTTCACTCTTTGATGAAAGATACTGATTTGTTTGCAATGCGACCGTTGGCTAAAACTTGATATCAATATGCCAGTCATGGGAATCACGTAATTAATTCGAATGATGGAGATAGCATCACACTTACGCTTCTTTCTCTCTATCCCACAGGGGCGTCTGAAGGACACGTGCAGGTATAGCTCATAAATCATCACAGATAACACATGAGGTCGCGCAGTGTGTGGACCGTGGGCTATCTGATGATGTATGTGGTGATGATGCTCTGTGTGCTGACCCTGTGTGTTAGTCATGGGCTGTCCATGGGGGCATGGGTTCTATGTAACGATGCTGTATTTAAAACGTCGATTACATGCGGTACTGATATATGGGGTGATGCTGACCGATTTTCCTAATTGTTGTACACACAGGAAAGATGCTCCAAAGAAAACCCCGCCCCCAGCTCCTACTCCACTGGACGCCCCCACGATCCGCTCCCTCGAGAGAGTCACGGGCAAACTCCTGCCCCTCGTCTGTGAGTTTATCACTCTTGCTTCAGTATAGACGGGTGGCCTGTGCTGTGCAAACAGCTGAGTCCCAGATACTAGGATCCTGGTTTCAACCTTCAGTTTTAACTCCTTTCCAGGATAGTCAATGGCCTGACTGAGCAGCATGAAGTACGGTGAAATATTTTACAAGACTCGCATGGCATCAGCAGAACCTTGTCCCGCAGTGTAATTGACAAAGTAATGTACATGCTATGATTTTGACCATTTTGTATTAGAATATGTTTCGATTTAAAGCTTTCGTGACTGCAGGGATTCATCTTCTTGGTTCTTTCGGTAAAGTCACGTAGAATGGAAACAATACAAATAATAAAATAAAACATAATAAAATAATTCTCACGACGTTTCGGCCACAACGCAAGCAGCCGTCATCAGGTGAAGACCAGGTCTGTCGGGGAGACAGCGTCTGAATGAAACAGCACCATGCTTGGAGCGTATATTTAAGCTGGGTTGGAAGGGGGGGGGAAGGGCGCTTTGACAAAATAATTTGCATATCAAGAGGAATTTAGCATATCTATGGGCATATTCATGGAACATGCAGGTATGTGATTAGTACTACTTATGCCCGTGCATTATGCAGGACTACGTGACTTTACCGAATATTAGAATATGTATTAGGGAATGCTTTATTACATACTGCGCATGTATTTTAATACACAACAGCTGTTGTTATACTTGTGCTGTAATTACACATGCATTGTTATTATCTTTACTACAGATGGATGTTCGCCGGTTCTGGACCCAAACTCCGTCCACAACAAACTCCAGATTTCTCCAGACCTCAAGACGCTGACAAAGACCAGCGTCTCCCAGCGTCGCCCCGATCACCCGCATCGGTTTGATTGGTACTACCAAGCCCTGTGCTCTGACAGCTTCTCGTCAGGTCAGCACTACTGGGAGGTGGATGTGGGAGGCTCGGAAGTGTGTGCAGTTGGAGTCGCGTACGAGGCGGTCTCGCGGACAGGCAGAGAAGCATCCAGCCTGGGAGGGAACGACTCATCCTGGATTTTATTACGTAAAGACAACAGCTACTCAGTACGCCATAACGGGGTATTTACCTCACTGCCAGTGAGGGATCCTCCTTGGAGAGTCGGGCTTCATTTGAACTGGGAGGCGGGGCTGCTGTCGTTTTACCGTGCCGAATCCATGGAGCCTTTGTACTCAATTCACCACGCGTTCACTCGGCCTCTTTACCCCGCTTTGTACGTGGGGGGTAAAGATGGTGAGACAGTGACGATTTTGGACATTAACCGTGGGTGCTGAGATCGCTGAGTGTAAACAACACACAGAGCAGACACACAGCATATAAAAAATACAAAAATGCAACATAACACGTTATATATTATATAGCAGTGGCGGGCCGTTTATTTTACACCTAGGCCTTGAGTAATATCCTCCCGCAATTAAACCGCCTTCGAATAACATCACCATGACACTAGGGCTATAGGCTAATGTTATTCGACATAATCACCCAATATTCACAGTGACAGTAACCTTTATCAAATGGTATAAAGTTATTTAGCACGAGGCTCAACACCTATGAGAGTTACAATACACTAATTGTAGAGATATTAATACATGGTGACTGAAACCAACAAGGATGTACCACATTTTGGTTCTTTCAGTAAAGTTACTTAGAACCAAAGAGTATGGATTCCTGCAGTCACGAAAGCTTAAAATCAAGATGTACCACTATTACGCTGTATGACAGGATGCTGCATCACAAATAGACTTTGCATAGCCCAAATCAATGTCATTACCAAAGAAACAAGAACAAACTCACAAACAACAGTCACATTTTAATCAGACGGTGCTGTGTGCACAAACCTTCCTAGAGGAAATTTCAACAGTAATGGAAATGGTCGTGCGGATTAATAAATTGATGGCAATCATCGCCAGTTGTTTTCAAGCTTCTTCGAGAAGTTAACTGCCACTATTATGATCTTATCGTGTTTCACAAGGTACAGTGTCTTTCCAAAGGGGTGCAGTCCTGGTGAGGATTGTGTCATGTCGAGGAAATTAGCCAACAAACTAAAAAGGGGAGGAAAGGAAATGGGAGTAGGAGGCCATATAGTACTAGTTCTTGTGGATGAATGGCCTGTATGATGGGGGTGCTGGGGAGATGGGATGGGCTCTGGATACTTACACCACCTCTGTTAAGGCATGATGATCGCTGCTCCCGGGAGAAAACAAGAACGACAAAAATTGAACATCGCGTTTTGTGTTATTTTATTTCTGGTTCTGTTCGGTTACGATTTTCCTCCTCTCCATCTGCTCCACTCCATCTTCTTACCCCTCCCCTGCAAATAGCCTGCTCCTGACACTTAACCCTACCGCGGTAGGGCAGCGAGCCCAAACGCACCCTGCCGGACCCTAATTTTGAGGGTGTATCACTTCGGGTTTGGTTCACGTTACCTGTTGTTTGCTCTTTGGCCCCTCTCTTTGAAGTCTACTTTGTATTATGGGTTCTTGAATAACAATACAAAAATATTGTAAGTCTGTCATTGAACTTATTTTGCACCGTACGTAGCCAACCGTGATAATATGTGGGACACTGTGTATTGTACATGTGTTTAACTTCTTTCGCACCATATGTAGCCAACCATGCTAATCGGTGAGTAGTGAAGACTTTTATATGTTCAATTATAATTGAATGTTATAATAGTTTTTTCAATCTTGATTTGAAGCTTTCGTGACTGCAGGAATCTATACTCTTTGGTTCTTTCGGTAAAGTCACGTAGGTAGAAGAAATAATAGATCACGACGTGTCAATCGCAACACGCTCTCTGACATAGACATGCTAATCTCTCACATTTACAGCTTCAAATCAATATTTATGTAAAAATCCTTCTATAGCTCCGCTCACTTACCCTTGGGTTGGGCCCACCAAAAATCCTATATAAACTCTTGTTACAGCAGCTATTTTTTCTACGTGAACAGTTCTCTTGCTGTGCTTGTTTCACACCTGATGACGGTTGCTTGTGCTGCGTGACTTTACCAAAAGAACCAAAGAGAATAGGGTTTTCCCCTGCATTAACCGCAATGCTTGTGGTCAGAATGTAAACAAAAAACATACTGTGATAATATATACATTGTCCTTGAAACTGGTTGGCCCACACCAGAAACAACTTTATTTTTAGCCTCGTCTCAAACGGCGTTAGACTAAAGGGCACTAAAAGGCGTGTGTTAACGAAATTTAATTTATTGACATATTATAACTTGATTCAAATCAATCTTTAACATAATCAAATGCAAATATAATATCAACGTATTAAATATGACAGGAATGGGTCACGTTTTGATGTCTTGGAGATGAAAAAATGTACAACAGTCGAAGTGTATTGTTTAAAAAACGAAAAAGAACAACATTTTCATTTTAGACTTGATTTTTTGCTGTGGTTGTCCCCGCCTAATGACGGACGCTTGTGTTGCGCCCGAAACGTCGTGTTTTTTTCTCTTCCTACGTGACTTTACTGAAAGAACCAAGAGTATAGACAAAATGTAGAATGTGTGTTGTCACCGTCTGTATACCTGCTGTGGTTGCGTGCAGGTATCTTTGCGTGTGATCCGGGCTCTCAAAATATTTTTGGTCAAAGACAAAAAAGAAAGTATCTTCTCCTTCTTTAAAAGGTTGCCGACCCCTGCGTAATCCCAGGTCACCATCCCATCAGACATAAACACGGACGCGTTGGTTCTTTCAGTAAAGTAACTGGCAGCAGTTACATTGGGGAAACGAAACGACATGTCTCAGACCGTGTCCGTGAACACAAGACAGATCTGAAACACGGTAGGATCAATACCTCTGCCGTTGCCAATCATTTTTTAAATGCTGTGGGCTCACACGAAATAGATTTTTCCAAGACGGAGGTACTCTGCAAACCTACCGGCTACCTTCAGAGATTTATTCATGAAGCCATCCAGATATATAAACACAGACACAACTTCAACCGAGTGAATGGGTACAAAACTGAGCAATCATTGGAAGGACGTTATTAACCAAGTAAACTCTTAACTGACTGTGATGTTTCCATCCTACCTGCCTATGTCAGCTGTTATTTCGACTCTCTATGTGTCTCTCTCTATGCCTCTCTCATGCTCACATGTCCGTTACATTGCACTCTCTTGCCTTTGGATTGCACTGTCATACTCACAGGCCCTTTGGATTACACCCGTTGGGTTGCCCTTCTTCGTCGAGGAGGCCGCTTTCCTTCTTCTTTTCTGCAGTTATACGCTAATTTATCAGATTAACATTATGCTAATCTCTCACATTAACATAGCCACTTCCGTGCCCTCTAATTTCTCACAATAACATAATGATAATCTCTCACATTAACATAGCCACTTCCGTGCCCTCTAATTTCTCACAATAACATAATGCTAATCTCTCACATTAACATAGCCACTTCCGTGCCCTCTAGAGATTAACACTGAACCCTACGGGAGCCCCAGTGATTAACACAGAACCCTATGGGAGCCCCTGAGATTAACCATGAACCCTATGGGAGCCCCAGTGATTAACACCGAACCCTATGGGAGTCTCAGTGATTAACACTGAACCCTATGGGAGCCCAAGAGATTAACACTGAACCCTATGGGAGCCCAAGAGATTAACACCGAACCCTATGGGAGCCCCAGTAATTAACACTGAACCCTATGGGAGCCACAGTGATTAACAACGAACCCTATGGGAGCCCCAGAGATTAACACTGAACCATATGGGAGCCCCAGTGATTAACACCGAACCCTATGGGAGCCCCAGAGATTAACACTGAACCCTATGGGAGCCACAGTGATTAACACCGAACCCTATGGGAGCCCCAGAGATTAACACTGAACCCTATGGGAGCCACAGTGATTAACACCGAACCCTATGGGAGCCCAAGAGATTAACACTGAACCCTATGGGAGCCCCAGTGATTAACACCGAACCCTATGGGAGTCTCAGTGATTAACACTGAACCCTATGGGAGCCCAAGAGATTAACACTGAACCCTATGGGAGTCTCAGTGATTAACACTGAACCCTATGGGAGCCCAAGAGATTAACACTGAACCCTATGGGAGCCCAAGAGATTAACACTGAACCCTATGGGAGTCTCAGTGATTAACACCGAACCCTATGGGAGCCCAAGAGATTAACACTGAACCCTATGGGAGCCCAAGAGATTAACACTGAACCCTATGGGAGTCTCAGTGATTAACACCGAACCCTATGGGAGCCCCAGTGATTAACACCGAACCCTATGGGAGCCCCAGAGATTAACACTGAACCCTATGGGAGCCACATTGATTAACACCGAACCCTATGGGAGCCCCAGAGATTGACACTGAACCCTATGGGAGCCCCAGTGATTAACACCGAACCCTATGGGAGCCCAAGAGATTAACACTGAACCCAATGGGAGCCCCAGTGATTAACACTGAACCCTATGGGAGCCCAAGAGATTAACACTGAACCCTATGGGAGCCCAAGAGATTAACACTGAACCCTATGGGAGCCCAAGAGATTAACACACGAACCCTATGGGAGTCTCAGTGATTAACACCGAACCCTATGGGAGCCCCAGTGATTAACACTGAACCCTATGGGAGCCCCAGAGATTAACACTGAACCCTATGGGAGCCCCAGCGATTAACACTGAACCCTATGGGAGCCCCAGTGATTAACACCGAACCCTATGGGAGCCCCAGAGATTAACACTGAACCCTATGGGAGCCACAGTGATTAACACCGAACCCTATGGGAGCCCCAGAGATTAACACTGAACCCTATGGGAGCCACAGTGATTAACACCGAACCCTATGGGAGCCCAAGAGATTAACACTGAACCCTATGGGAGCCCCAGTGATTAACACCGAACCCTATGGGAGTCTCAGTGATTAACACTGAACCCTATGGGAGTCTCAGTGATTAACACTGAACCCTATGGGAGCTCAAGAGATTAACACTGAACCCTAAGGGAGCCCAAGAGATTAACACTGAACCCTATGGGAGTCTCAGTGATTAACACCGAACCCTATGGGAGCCCCAGTGATTAACACCGAACCCTATGGGAGCCCCAGAGATTAACACTGAACCCTATGGGAGCCACATTGATTAACACCGAACCCTATGGGAGCCCCAGAGATTAACACTGAACCCTATGGGAGCCCCAGTGATTAACACCGAACCCTATGGGAGGCCAAGAGATTAACACTGAACCCTATGGGAGCAACAGTGATTAACACCGAACCCTATGGGAGTCTCAGTGATTAACACTGAACCCTATGGGAGCCCAAAAGATTAACACTGAACCCTATGGGAGCCCAAGAGATTAACACTGAACCCTATGGGAGTCTCAGTGATTAACACCGAACCCTATGGGAGCCCCAGTGATTAACACTGAACCCTATGGGTGCCCCAAAGATTAACACTGAACCCTATGGGAGCCCCAGCGATTAACACTGAACCCTATGGGAGCCCCAGTGATTAACACCGAACCCTATGGGAGCCCCAGAGATTAACACTGAACCCTATGGGAGCCACAGTGATTAACACCGAACCCTATGGGAGCCCCAGAGTTTAACACTGAACCCTATGGGAGCCACAGTGATTAACACCGAACCCTATGGGAGCCCAAGAGATTAACACTGAACCCTATGGGAGCCCCAGTGATTAACACCGAACCCTATGGGAGTCTCAGTGATTAACACTGAACCCTATGGGAGCCCAAGTGATTAACACTGAACCCTATGGGAGTCTCAGTGATTAACACTGAACCCTATGGGAGCCCAAGAGATTAACACAGAACCCTATGGGAGCCCAAGAGATTAACACTGAACCCTATGGGAGTCTCAGTGATTAACACCGAACCCTATGGGAGCCCCAGTGATTAACACCGAACCCTATGGGAGCCCCAGAGATTAACACTGAACCCTATGGGAGCCCCAGCGATTAACACTGAACCCTATGGGAGCCCCAGAGATTAACACTGAACCCTATGGGAGCCCCAGCGATTCACACTGAACCCTATGGGAGCCACAGTGATTAACACCGAACCCTATGGGAGCCCCAGAGATTAACACTGAACCCTATGGGAGCCACAGTGATTAACACCGAACGCTATGGGAGCCCAAGAGATTAACACTGAACCCTATGGGAGCCCAGGAGATTAACACAGAACCCTATGGGAGTCTCAGTGATTAACACCGAACCCTATGGGAGCCCCAGTGATTAACACCGAACCCTATGGGAGCCCCAGAGATTAACACTGAACCCTATGGGAGCCACATTGATTAACACCGAACCCTATGGGAGCCCCAGAGATTAACACTGAACTCTATGGGAGCCCCAGTGATAAACAACGAACCCTATGGGAGCCCAAGAGATTAACACTGAACCCTATGGGAGCCCCAGTGATTAACACTGAACCCTATGGGAGCCCAAGAGATTAACACTGAACCCTATGGGAGCCCAAGAGATTAACACTGAACCCTTTGGGAGCCCAAGAGATTAACACACGAACCCTATGGGAGTCTCAGTGATTAACACCGAACCCTATGGGAGCCCCAGTGATTAACACTGAACCCTATGGGAGCCCCAGAGATTAACACTGAAC